GCTTCCACCACAGTAGTCGCTAGCGACTACATACAAATAGGGGCTGTATCGATCAGTTATTGGAAATATATAAGCGCTCTGTGTCTTGACTTAACATGACCTGAACCTGACTAAACGCGCGTGCGGCATAACGATAGGCCTGAGCCGATGCAATTCGTCATGGTTGATATGTTCACCCGTAGATTCGGACTCTCGTCTCAACGCGATCAGGTTGCGACCCCGGACAGCCTTTGTCGAACAAGACATTGAATAGAGCAGTTTGCATTTCTCATGTCCGTGGTTAAGGTGCTCAATCAGCTTGTAACAGCTCATTTAAAGATAGCCGTTACAATGGGAAAGATTATAAAACAATTAGATGGGATCGCCGGCGTCACGCTCTCTATTAAGCGCCCTAACTGGGCCAGGTAATGTCACAGGCGCCTCGCCACCTGCGATGCGTGAGTCTGGAAACTGACCGTCTTTCCGCGGAATATCACGACATGCCTCATTCTTGATACGCCACGAGGCAGTGCTTATCGCTCAGACGAAGTCCAGAACCGATGAACTACCTCACGAGCGCTTTAAATATCTTCTACTCTGAACAAACGTGGAGCATTGCCACCCACAGTCCACCGCAGCTAAGTCACGCTGTCATTTCCATGACGTCAGCACCTGGTACCTTTCGCGTATGTATGTATAGTAGCGGATTGTCGCCCGCCGCCATTGGACGCCATGCCATGCTTGGGAGGACAAGGAAATTGTCGATGTCCAGGTCGTCATTTACGCACGTTGCCCAGACGTTGCCCATGAATCAACGAACCAACTTTGACGTTCTATCTCGGTACCAAGTGTCGTCCTAGGTTACGCTTCAATATCAACCGCGTGATGATATGAATGAATTGGCGGAGTACGGAAATTGAGAAGAACATTTGCAGTCTGCCAGTGAACCATATCACCATCATGATTAGGTCTGTGTCTGGACTCTGGAGCGATGCCGTATCTATTAATACAGTTGAAAGAACCTCGATGGAGAAACATAATGTGAAAGCCAGAGATGACGAATAATGGAACAAAGTTCAATTACTACAGCGCGTAAAGGGTTCGTGCATAGCTCATGAGCTACCGCGGGCTCGGTGGTGATAGGGGTAAAAGGTGCTACATAATATCGTCTAATCATAAGTCCATACAGTGTCTAACGGATGTGCGGGCTAAGCTATGAAGGTTATGAAGGTTCATCACGAGTTTCGTCCATGCTATATCTCTGAAGTGTGTAGTACAATTAGACTAAGCAAAGAATCGACGTAAAGAAAACTCGCCTTGATGTACGCTTCGACGGTCCGTTCGACCTTTGTCTTATCTTCAGCCCAAGCGATCCGAGGCAATTCCTGCGCGCGAATTGGGTCCAGCTTGTTCGTCTTTAGATATGAAATGAGTTCGTCGTTAGGACCCGCCTCTTCAAGGAAGAAAGGGAGATATTGAAGGCCAGCTTGGAACGCTTCCTTGGCTTTTCGTTCTCTGAATATCTTGTCGTCATGCTCCTGACGGTACCAAGTCCATTCGGAAGGTAACCTGTATTGGTAAATCTTACCACTGAATTCAAATGCGCGTTAATAACGGATGACTCGGTATATGAAAAACGAAAAAGAACGCACGGCTTTTTGGGTTCGAAAAGGTACTTTGCTATGCGAAGCGCGACACGCGTGTAGTGCTCACTCGTCAGATGATAGCGGCCTGCTCGTTCACGATCCGTAAGAAATTGCGAAAGCATATGCCTGTATGCATCGAATATCTGCTTCAAACCCATCAGATGAAGACCTCGTTGGTCCATTTCCTCTTTCTCAATTGCGTCGCTCTGCGCGAGACCGAGCAGCGGCCACATATGAATCCAATCCCAAAGGAGGTTAGGGTAGGTCACGAACGTCAGGAGATCTGTCAGATACTGGTCCGCGAAGTAATTTTTGAGCTCGGCGTGTAGATACTGGTCCCAGGCGTGCATGTGAATGTCGTATAAATCCTTTTGGGGATCAGGGTAAGTCTATCGCGAAATGAAGTTTCAGACATAAGGCAAACGCGAAGCAAGGGAATGGAAAACATACGAGCGAACGGAACCAATGGAAAAGGTGTGGCAGTTCTAGCCATGCTTGGTCGAACGGTCCTCCACCGTCGTTCCAAGTCTTACACGTTGTCATCCATATCGAGATATCGAAGTTCACCAGGTCGGTCAGCAGCTCATGCGTCAGGACCGAATATCTGCAATGCGTCACGAGAGCCTGTCCTGCATACTGATGGACGAATTTATGACCTAGACAAGGTCCGGTTGAGTTAGCATTATTTTGGATGCTAAAAGCGGGCGCTTACCGGAAAGCAAATTCCGAACGCACGAGCGTGCGAGTTCAGCGTGGACTTTTACGGAGTTTATGAAATACCTCCCAGCGCGTGATCGGTCCGTCAGGAAATCGATAAGGGAGCTATGCAAGATGCGAATGCCGGATTCGCCCGCTTTGCCGTTGGTAGCGACGACCGAGTTTCGCCTGGAGTCGGGAACGTTGAGGATCGAGTGGAGATCACCTAGGATGAACGACACATCGCCGCGGTTCAGCGACAAGAGCTCCTCCAGGAAGCGGGGGTCGGTAACGGGAATGGGCATCTCTGGCTCGTTGTGTGCGTTCCTCCGCGAATACAACCTCTGAGCGAACAAAATAGCGCCGAGGATCCGCAGGACGCCCTTGATGTTGTGGACGGAGGAGAATACGTGTCTGTAGAGACAATCAAGCTCGGCGAAAGGGATATCACCGATAGGATTTGCTATCCTGAGCACGGCTTCGAGGCGTTCGACGGGTCTATGCTGCGGGGAATCCACATATTTCATGACAGTCGAGGCATAGATGAACTGACCGGATGCACGTTGAACGAGGGATTGGATGATTTGCGACGATGGCCAGGATGCGGGAATGTAGGTTCTCAAAGGGTGAGTCTGTTTGATGTTATCGAATTTATTCCAGAAGAAGCGCTTGATTTCGGCGTCAGGTATGTAGGTTTCATCCAGCACGATGGTGTAAATAAGGTCGCGCAAGTCGTAGGAGTTAAACGAGTCGCGAATGGGGGGTTCGGGGCGGCTGGCGACGAGGATGAAGAGCGGGACCTTCCTGTGAATGAGCGCTGTCGAAAGTATTCGCACAATGTAGCGCTGGACGTTAGCGCCCTGACACTCATCAAGTCCATCAATGACGACGAGGCGCGCCCACTTTTTTCCCGCGCTGCGCTTATCACCGAGAGAAGCGTAGGCTTGCAAGAGTGGGTTGACGATAAGGGTTTGGAGCTGGGTTTCGAGAGTACCGCTGAAGACGGAAGGATCGCTTTCGACTGCTTGCGCAATGAAGCGGCGAGTTTCAGGGATGGATAGGGAGATTTGGTGTGCGATGGTGGCCATGAGGTGCTTCTCGGTGTTCAACCCGGCAATTCCCCTAGCGAAAAAGTAGGAAGCAGCCAGGAGACCCCGCTCGTAGCACAACTGAGAGATCGTTTGGGCGATGGCCGATTTCCCTGCACCCCCCGGGCCGTAAATCCACAACATACCACATTCCCTTCGCTCGTCGTTCAACCAGTTGGTGATCATTGATAAGATCGATGTCCGGGTTCGAGGCTGGCATTTTGGGGGGTCATATTTGCGTCCCGAGTCATGGAAAGCGCCGGGTGCGATCCGTCGTTCCAGTGTATCTGTGCCTTGAGGATTCGTCGAGGTTTGAACACATCACCATGACTCATGGGAATGTTAGAAATACGCACCACGACGGCCGCTGGGTGCCACAACCTGCTCTGTCCTATTCTTCGAGGATGCCCTGCCATTCTTCACCGTAGTCGCACTGGACGAGTCAGTGGAGCCAATCATGGTAGGGAAGAAGGGGGAGAGGTGTGAGCGCTTGAATGGTGATGGTGGAGTTATGAGAAGAGGAGGCACTACTCCCAGAATTTGAGGTGGCAAAAATCGGCACGTGTGACCGATCGAATAGCGAGCTAATAGGCGCCTAAAATAAGAAGTACGTAACGCTGTCTTTGATCATCTGGCCTGCACGCATCATAAATTACAGACGCCGACAAGGGGCTTTTCTATTTTCGGGGTTACCATGTCTCACCCCTAGCCTTGGGCGTTAATCACTAGGAGCTTATCCTCCTCTGCGACAAAACACTAAGCGCTGAGGATACAGGTGTATCTTGGGCGTCTTATTAGGCGCTGGATTAAAACTCGACGGGGAGGGATGGGGGAGGAACAGAGACTTGGTCGTTGCGGCGATAAATCATCGCCATCTGTTTTCGGATTAAGATCCGACACACAGAGTAAATTTTCTCCTCGTGTTACTTATGTTGCTCTTGCCCTCCCTTTTGTCTCTCACGTCGTCCCGTGGGTTCCGCAATGTGACAAAAGGAAGACCATCTCCATCTCTCATTTTTCTCGTTCTCAGCGCGCAAGACAATGTCTATGTCGCGCAGAGGCAAGACACCATTTGGCTGTGACAAAGAGTTGGTCACACGCTCCACGAAGGCCGAGGTGATGAGTGTGATTGTTGATAATAATACATAAGCCGGGTGCGTCCTGCCACTTTTGGCGCCAATCGGCGCTTGAATGTGTGCTTCCAAATGTCATTAGACACACGTTATGAATGGCCGTTATCTCTGGACCGGAAACGAAGATCGCTGCATCGCCTCGTCCACCTGCATCTGCCCATATGAGCGCTATTGACATCTATCACCATCCGTGGGCCATGCGTTAACCGTGTGCCGCAACTGACAGAGTGGGATTCTTCTTGAGTAAATCTGGAGAAGTAGCCAATTCCAACAGACAGCCGTCATCGATGGGTAAGGAGCTTGATTTAGCATTCTCGCGTTCATGCGTGTCAACGTCAACTTGTAAAAGACACGCCCAAACAACGAGGAGAGCGGTAAAACTAGAACATTCCGTGTGAAGGCCTTAGAAGGAAGAACTCTAAACAAAAGATGTGCCAGAGATAACTAAAAATATCAGTCGACGCCAGCAGGATTTGAACCTGCGCCCTCAAAGAGGAACAGATAACTTGCTTTCCTCAGGTCGCATTCTAATCTGTCGCCGTAACGACTTGGCTATAGCGCCTGATGATTCCATTTTTGTCTCCCCTCCCTGGCGCTGGCGGCTAAGTACGTCCTCTGTGCACGTTGATGTGACGACTTCAATTTGTCCGGATCCGAAACAGTGGAACTCCGACGATTGATGGCAGCCCGAGTCTTCCCCACTGGCGCCAATGCGCTTAGCGCCTGCCCCCTGGCACCGTTCTAAGCCGGCCGGGCAATGACTAACCGGAGGCGAGTTACTCCTAACTTTGAGTAATGATGTGGTCAGCTGCCAGCAGCCTGCGATACGTACTTTACTCCGACTGCTCTGGCTAGCTCTAGCTCTCTTTAATTTTCGCTACTGATATTAAATAACGTAGAAACACGCAGGGTGAGACAGCACCTCCTTACACACATAGACCTGCCCTGATTGATCATTCCTGCGATTTACCAATTCATGAACGATCCTGATCAAAAAGCGCCCACATTGTCATCACGACTTTACTGCACGAAAAGGTCATTCCAATTACACTTTTGCTCCCAGGAGGTTGGTCCTCCAGAAGTTTCAGTCCACGTTGTGCCCATGCTAATCTATTTTGCACCTACGGCAAGCCGGCGTCTATCCTTCTGGCGCTATAGGCAGTGCGGTAGAACACACCTGGTCCTGTTGCCGCGTGCACCGCAGTCCTTTGGCCCCGCGATCCTGCGAGTGATGCGACCGCCACGCTGCTCCGAATAGCAATCACGGGACTAGTCCCAAAGCGATGATCGCGGACGTTTTGGGCAAGTCTGGAGCGCCGAGCGCCTGAATTGAACTTGGTCAAACTTGGGTCGAACTTTCTCTTGCTTTCATTGTATTCTATCTGGAGGTGAGTGACTCCCGTCTATAGAGTGGGATTAGGTGAGATGAGGTGAGATGTACGACACCTCGCCGCTGAGTTCTTTTACATTCCACTTCTTTACTTCTCCATCACTGTTAAACATTCCGATGACATTCCGTGGACCAAACTTATTCCTGCAACACGTGAACATGGGATACCACGAAGGTCCAAGACTAGGCAGTGCCAATAATGCTTTCTACAACCATTGCTATCTCTTCCTGTGCACTTTTACTTCTAATCTAGTCTTGCAGTTCGAGTCATTCAGCTTCTCATCGGTATCCTGCTTTCACTTTCCTTAATTAGGATGAGCGCTAGCATGTCAATGAGGATAATATTAACTCACCCCCCTCGATCGCGGTAATTCCACACGTATTTGTGCATTCGTTCTGCTTCGCACGACTGCGCAAAGTGTCAAGGATACTCTCAGCATCCTAGATACATATAACGGAAGCCCGGTCTCCCCTTCAGAATACTCACATTCCTCCAGGTCACACAGCCCTCTGTGTTCCTCAAGCTCATGGACCATTCCGTCCACCCGAAAGCCTACATAGTCTTCTTGGGTTAAGATGGGCTTGACTCGCCGTCTTTTCTTTTCAGAGGTAGCATGCATTGCTCACTTCCCGTCCTCGTCGCATCACAGTTCAGGAGCCAGTGTCGGCTTTCGACCTGAACTTGGCACTTTTAAGGTTAAACTGCAATGTCAACCTCTCGTAAGGTCGACCTATGAATACGCTGTACGTCTGCAGTCAGCATAATTCTCTCTGTCGGAGTTCGGAGATTTGCCTTATTTCTGCCCTTGCATGACAAAAATATCTCTCTCATGCATCCGGGTCTAATTCGGAATAGCAACGGCATGTGCGCCTCGAAGGGCCTATATATATCTTCGCTACCAACATCGCTAGCGTGGTTCTGTTCGTTTTGCAGCATGGAAATGCAGGTGTTTGACATAGCTATTCACGTATGGTCCGATTTCTCTGTGTCTGCCGAAGCACTTTCCTTGCTCATTAATTGTGTACATTCCCGCGTCCGAGCAATGGACAGGGCTGTAGACTCGACTATTCATTCTCCCTGTGGCGGCTTCTATCGATGAGGGGCAGCTTTGCTGGCAGCGTCGCCATTACATTCCTTGCGTCAGTCTAACTTTTTTGGTCAGTCTCCCGTACTGTAAAATACCTCGCATTCACGGAAAAGTGGAATTCGCTCGTCCTCAACTGACCTCCAGTAACAATGAAGCACTCTCTCGGTGCCGCTTTTGCTATCGTCAGCGCTCTGCATGTCGCTGCACAGGTTCCCGTCCTCAGCGAGTACGATACGCTATGGAATCTTTGTGATGCCGGTGGAAATTCATCGGTTAGTGTTAGACTGCCCTCTAACGTACACCTACCTATCTGACCGCATGTCTCTCAGTATGTTGGTGTTCGCTACGCCGGGCCGGTTGTAACATATAAAACCTTCAACTTTAACGAGTGTTACCCGTACGAAATCGACGGCGAACTTGCTCAGGAAGCTGTCTTTTGCAAAGCGGTAACCTGCTACAACAACCCGTGAGTAGAGCGTTTTAATTTCTATTGTTCGGCTTGCGATGCGCGTCTGACGCTGTTTAACTTCACAGAAACCCCGACTGCACCGGGGGCGCCGTCCCGCCTGTACCTGTTCCGGTCCCAGCAGGCCTCGTTCTAATCAACGCCGCCGACTTTGTTCAAATAATCGGCCAGGGAGCAACTTGCCAGGAGAATGGGCTCTCATAAGCTGTTAGCGGGATTGTTGACTACTCCACTGGCTCGTATCCTACTTTCGCATATACATAGCCTGATACTTACAGTATCCTGTCACAACTATTTTTTTTTGGTTTGTAAAAATGAATAAATGGATGTGATTAATCGAGTCCTGGAGCGTACAAGGATCATATGGGAGAGAGAACATACCAGAACATACCCCCAGCTGAACCAGCGACTTGCATTAGCAGGCCCCAGGTGTGGAGGTATTCTCTCGAGAACCTTGCTGCAATGCCTCTGAACTTTTCAGCTTCGATCCACCATACATTAGGCGGGCAGTCATCTAATTAACCTCAACGACTCAAGATCTAATACGCCCTGTAATGGATTGAAGCGCCCAATATCGACGGGTGGATAATAGATTAGATTAGATTAGATTAGATTACGCAAGGCTGTGCCGCTTATTTTGGCGTCGATCCAGAATCAATCCAGCATGCAACCGTTTTGATGCAACATGTTCCTTGCCAAATTGCCCTCAACGCGATAGTGCACAAGTTCTCTCTCGATGCGTATCCGAAAGGAGGATTGGCGTGCTCCACCGTCTAGACGTCCAGCTGTCACGATCCTCTGAATCACTCAAGCTCTCACTGGCAGTTAAGCGTCAGGTTGACCCAAATTTAAACCTCGCACCACAATGAAGCTCTCCAGCATCATCTCCTCCTTCGCTCGGAATAGCCTCCTCGGTCAAAATTCGGCGACAAAGCAGCCCAGCAGATAACGAGCCTGGGCCACAGCGTCATGGTCCTATTTATTGATGCTGCTCCTAAAGAAACCGCTTTGTTACAACTGTTACAATTCGTCATTGTTCTGGCATATAGCGAAGGGCCTGTTGTTTCGTTACCGATTGCCCAACGCCCTTCTACGCACGGGGCCGGTGACTGGGCCTCGAGGCCCCTGTTTCATGGCGCGGATGCAACCAGGATCGTTGATTCCCCACAGCCGTTAAAAGGTCAACTTGGAGCTTGTACCAAACGCATCACCTATATCAAACTCGAATTATCCCTGGCCGTTATCCACCATGCCTGGACACTTAGACTCTCCGTACGATTTTGCCGTGCGTCATAACAACCTTCCTTTCCTGACTCATATAATTGATAGCTAACCCTTTCGTTTTATTCGTGTAGGATCATTGCTGGTATAAACCAGAGGGCGCTCCCCGAACGACACGCGCTGCAGTGCCAGTGGGGGCGGCTATCAAACCTTCTCCACTACCACGCTCTCCCGCCGGCGTCCAAGGTGTTGGCGGCTCCAAGCACCCACATCCCAATAAGAAGCGGAGCCGTGATAGAGGCCCAAGCGCGCAGGCTGTGAGCGGCTCCGACCCCGCTTGCACCACCCCTGCCTCGATCGAGCGTCCTAGGACAGATCGCCATAACCAGAACGTTAACAATACCGGCCCAAGGAACGCAAGAAATCAACGAAACCGAGGCGACGCCACTCCTCGAAGGCGCGCAGATGACCTCCAAGAAGGTCAATCGTGGTATAGACCGCGCGTCGTCAGGCCGAAGAAGACCCAAAGTGGCTTCGTCAGGACTTGGTACATTTCGATGAGGCAAAGACTGTTCCGTAGTTGAACAATTTTCAGGTTGTCTTGTTCGTTTGCTTTCGCTTTCGTTTCGCAAGTAATCACAATAAATTGATCTTTTGTATCGATATCACCTCGTTATCTCTTTCTCAGTATAAGTCAAGCACAAGAATGTTGATAATTCATCAGTAAAATGTGGGAAATCCTATAAGGTACTATAAGCACGTGAAATCCAGTATGAAGCACCATATGCGGTGTGAGTTTGTTGCCAGCTTATAGCGCACATCAAACATATCTATCCGTCCCGTAACCCAGTCCAATTTATAGTCAAAAGTAAAATGCCAACGAGTCACTTTGACGTTTACGTCCTCGAGGGTCGTTTCTGGTTACATCTGGATCATATACTATCTTCGCGGGTCCCCTAATATATTCGGAAGTTAGTTTGCCGAAATGCGGATACCAAGATCGCTGGGTACCTTTCCTCCACTCCCTAGTTTAAGACTGACGATGGACAGATGGGATGAGCAGAAATTTGTTAGATGCAAGAGTAACAAAATTCACATTTGCCTTCCATGGGAGCTGCGCCTTCATCTCGGTCAATCCAAAGAGAAGCACGATGGCGTAGTGTATTCGATAGTGATTTCCATGGAATATAGGTTTTCTCTTCTTTAAAGGCGTATGCGAAAGATCTGGAGTAATATTTCACAATTGAGTATAATCATCTAAGAAATGAATGTGAATTTTTCGACAGAGAAAATGAAATACCTATGTCAATATCTTTCCATCTATATTCGGTGTTCTAGCCCTAGCAGCTTGCTAGCAGCACGCACCTTGCTAGCAGCACGCACCTTGCGGAAATCTC